GATGAACTATTGTAAATGCAGCCGTTTGCATCCGTGATCCATCGATTGTCAAAAAGTGGTTGACGAAGTATTTCCTCATATTGGTCAGGAAAAAGTTCGTTAGGTGATGGTAGGTAACGTCAATATTTTATTATTGTTAACCACAAATTGTCCATAATAAGATCACTTCTAGCTCTACGTCGATCCCCTTCTTCTCTAAAGTGCATGTGAGCCCTTGGAATGGACCAGAACCGATCCTCAATCCATGTGAAAGGGTGAATAGTACTCTCAAAAGATACGGGGGCGAGCCTACGAATGTGTTCCAATACCATTCCCTGTCATGGTTTGTCAATAGATAAGATCAAATTTTTTATCCATTCAATGGATAAGGCTTCATATAGAAGTGTAGGATCCAGGATTTTTAGACCCCCCCTTGTTTTTTGTTGGATTATAGAAAGTCAAGCCACCTTTGAAATTACCTTGTCTTGTTCGTGATTCCTTCTTGTTAAGAATGTTGTGACTTGTCGTTAAAGGGTTTTTGTTCGTGCATGACCTATGGACCAGAGGGCTGATTTATACCAGATGGAAGCTAGGATCACATTGTTAATAACGAGTGTCCTTCCAAAAATGGAAGAGTGTTGATTTTTTCATTGATTTGTTTTTCCTAATGCTGGTTTGCAGATTCATTCTTCATGCCATTGGGTAGCAGGTTTACCAAATGTTGTGAGTGACACTCCTAAGATGCGTACCGAGGTTTCTTGAGGTAACCATTAAATTCTCGAAAGTTTCGGAGAACGTGTCACCGTTGGAATGAATCCACCACCCTTGAGTCTTGTTGCCACAATTAACCACCATGTCGGAGACATGTGTGAATTTACTTATTAGGTTTTGGATCTCCTCCATGTTTGATAAAGATGCTTCTAACATTATTGTGAGATCATCAACAAACATTAAGCTAATGGGGATAGCGTCTTCTATGATACTCGAAATCTGCAAGCGTTTCAAATTATGATTAGTTCTGAGATTGACCCCTAGAGCTTTCATTATGATAAGAAACAGAAAAGCGGTCAAATGATCTACTCGCCTTACCAATCTTTTCAAACTAATTTCCAAAGAAAATAACCCATTAACCTGTACCCTCATTGTGACATTCGTATGAAGAATTCTCACTCATTTTCTTAAGTTTAGACAAAATGTTATTTCCTTAAGACAAGCATCAAAGAAAACTCAATCTACTTGATCAAAGTTTTTTTCAAAGTCAATGAAAACGAAAGCAATATTTTATTTCGATTGGCGAAAGAGCTTAATCATCTCATTAATTAGGAGAATATTATCCTGAATGAGTCTTCCATTTATAAATTTAGTTTGTGATGGATGAATAATACCTGCCATTATCGGAATAATATGATTAGCCAACGTCTTAGCCAATATTTTATAAACCACAGTAAGTAAAGTTATGAGTCTATATTTTTTTATATTTGTTTTATCCTCCTTTTTGTATAAGAGAGTGAGAATCCCTTGACTCACAAATTTTCCCATTTATCATGACTCATAAATCGATTCGAAAAATCGCAACAATTCTGATGAGAACATAGGTCACATGGTTTTCCAAAATTCCTTGGGAAACCCATCAATACCTGGGGTGTTATCCACATTCATATGTAATAATGTTTTTCATAATTCCTTTAGGGTCAATGGCCTCTCCAAATGTTCCTTTTGCTTTTGAGTAAGTGTCTGGGTTAAGGGTGTGAGAAAGTTTTCTATGGCCGCATTATCTTCCTCCATCTCCTCCATATTTTTGGATGAAGTGAAAAGTTTTTTATAAAACTCATAGGCGATTTTTTGACTTCATGCTGCGGATAATGAAACAAATGTTTTTAAAGTTTTATTAGGATCTTGTAGTCCTTCAATAGTCGTACGTCGTGCTCTAACACGAGTTAGTGCAAAGAATGATGCATCCATTTGTCCCTTAGTCAAATGCCTTGATAAGTTACCTCTGATCAGATACCGTTGTCAACGGTGTTGAGCAAAAGTTAAAAGTTGGTTCCTAAGCTTCCAAATGTCAACAAGGTAAATACGATTTTGTAGTTGATGATCAAGTTCATAATTAAGGATTTGTTCATGGATGTTTATTTCTTGGAGAAAACGGTTTTTGCTTGCAATTTAGAGAAGTCGCTACAGTTTTTGGCCATAAAGGCCAACCGGTCTCGTTATTGAACCAAGCCGTATAGGAATCATGTTTATCATTAATAGTATGCTAGTAATCCCAAACATCATTAATAAATTGTTCAAATGGACTTTTACGAAGTAAGGAGGTGTTAAGTTTGTAGAAACCTTTACTCTGGTATGTTTTTTTTTTAAAGGACAACAAGACTACACACATCTTATGATAAGCTCTTGGCCAACGATTTTCGGGAAACATGGTTTTTCATAACAGTGCCCAATCTAGATCCTGTGACATCAAAATAAAGTTTCCTCATGATCTAGATTGGTGTGGGGTACCACTGTTGCGAATGAAGGTGGACAACCTTTCTTGCGGGAAGATCGTTCGGTACATATCAAATAGCTTCTCATCCTCGCATAGCTTACTAATAATATTCTCATCCTCCTCTATATATGTTGGGAAAGGGAAGGAAACCCTCCATCTATCCAACCATCTGTCGGGGGCTTCATTGAAATCCCCTGCCATAACGAGAGGGATACCCTCTGGTATTTGAATCCTGATACCCTGGTAGAAATTGATCATTTCCTGTACCTCATTAGGCCCGTATACATTTATGACACATACTTTTTCCATCTCCAGCCTAATCAAGGAAGAAACCCATCTACCCTGCTCCTCATCAGTTGTCCGCTTAATAATTTGAATCCTTGATTCCGGTGGCACCCAACGAGCCACTCCCCCTTATCCACATCGTGCCGCCGAGGAGGATGATTTGAGAAAAGGCCATGCCAGATTATGTGCTCTATTATGGATCGGCGAATTCATAAGATGAGTTTCCTGTATACAAATAAGGTCAGGCCATGTACGGTATCCAACTCCCTTGAGCTGCTCCATTATAACTTTCCTTTTCACACCGTCCGCGATGACTAGTGCATTTACATGCAGAGATCGTATATCTAAATCCGTTGTTTTGATGACACGGCTCCAATATGGTTTTTTTTCACAATATGCTTGGAGAACCTCCATCAGTAATTTTTGAATATTATAAACCTTTAATGACCAATGAATTATTATAACCTCACCAAATTCCCTTCATCCAAGATTGAAGAAGACTGAAGAATTTCTCTGATTAGGATTTAACATAAAAAAAACGCCACATCGGTCACCAACCAGACTGAGTTTGCCTTAAGCTTGAGATATTGTAGATCCATCATGGCAAAGTGTGGGTACCATCTCAAGCCTACCTCCTTCTGATCTTCGAATCTAACAAAGGTATCGCGTTTGGTCATTTGTGCCTGATCGTCTGTTTCAGTGAGAACTGCCTGGGGCCCAGGTCATAGTATTTGGAGAGAAAGTCTTGAAGATCCTGCTTGAAGGTTCGGTCGTTAGTATTCTGATACTCCACATATTTGGTCCATCCCTTCAACGTCATTCCCCCATACTCTTCTTGACCACTTGGGGACAGTCTTATTTCTCATTTCCTGCTTCTCTTCCTGACAGGAATAACAAAATTCCCCTTCGATGGTTGTCGCATGTTGGCGAGTCCTTTTTCAAGGATATGTCTCAATTTCTGTTTCTTGCCTGCTTCATGTGAAACATGCATTGTAGCGGACCCACCAGCTGTGGTGCTCCGCTAGTGACAGAGATGGAGATGGAGGAAGGAGGGGGAGCAAGATGGTACAACGCAGCTCCCCACGCAAGACTCCAACGCACGTACTCCAAAATGTGCAAGTGAGGAATGAGGCTGAAAACAGACAATGGCTGGGGTATAACCCAGCGGACTGACGGGACTGGACTGGACTGGCTGGTACCGACAGAGGTACCGGCCTGGACTGGCCTACCCCGAATATAACACAGGCCTGTGAGAACAGGCCAAGGGGCTGGTCTCACAGGCCAACCCGAGGTCCGGCCTGTGATGGATCGCCTAGATACAAACATGCTTCGCCAAGAAGCGGAACTCTACCAAAGAAAAGAAAACCTGAGTAGTCTAGGATGTGGAGCAAGCTCCATGCTGAGTCCATGCGATGCAACCTAGGATATAAAATGTCACAAAACAGCAATGTCACAACTAACAGCCTTAGTGAAAGTAGGAGCAACTAACTAACATACATGTCCTACGAAAGGAAAAAGTAGTGACAACTAGATCCTAGAATGTTGGAGGCACTAGCCTCAGTCTGGTAACAACTGACTGGTGTATAAGTCCTAAGAACAGCAAAAGCATAACAACTAAATCCTAGAAATGTCGGAGGCAGTAGCCTCAGTCTGAGAGCAACAAAGCAATCAACAAGACAACCATATGTCACATGAGAAGTGTGTCGCACACCAAAGGGTGGGATGGTCTCTGAGGGTGGCGAATGCAGCCTAGGGGT